TAATTTTATGACTATTATGTTAATTTATAATTAATTTAAAATTTTATTAATAATTTTTTTTAAATTTTTGGTGGGTTAGTGGGCTGGCCCGTATAACCCACTAACCCGTGGTGAGCCAGGCCGGCCCAAATTTTTTTTAAAAAAATCAAAAATAAATCAGGTTGGATTGGCTCGTTTTTAAAATGAGTCAAGATGGACTGGTTCACATGGGCCGGGCTGGCCCGTTTTGACAGCTCTACTCTATGTTAAATAAAATGAGTGTCTAGGGATATTTTCCTTTTTATAAGGGTCAAAACATAATTATTTGTTCATCATTGATTGGCTTAGAGACGGAACTAAAAATAAAAATTTGTCCACCACTAAAAATAGCATTGCAAAATACAGAAGAAATTTTGAATCAATATCTATCCAGGAATTGACACATCTGATTGAATCTTTCATTATGACTGGTTGTAATTTGAGTTCGATTTTCATATTTTTTTTTCCCTAATAGCAGGCAATATATAAATTCCTCCATAAATTTCCGCTGATATTAGAAATCTTTTATACTGTACCAAAATACGTATTTGATTAATGTTGAGTGTAAAGTAATTTAATTATTATACACTCTTTATGATTTTTATTATAAGATACAAATGTACAATTAAGAGAAAGAAAAAAAATTGTGATTCTTTTTATAAAATACTTTATAATTTTTATAAGTTTCATTAACTTTATTTTTCTTTTTTTTTTTCTTATTAAAGATTGTAAGAATATATATATATTTTATTTTTTTTTATAAGTTTTAATAAAAATAATATATTTATTTTTTATAAAAATTTAATAATAAATGATAAATATAAAATTAATATATCATAATTTTATTTTATAAACTTAATAAAATCAACTAATATAACTACTTATATTGATTTATATAATTTAATTAAAAATACTTTATAATAAGAAGACAATATACTAATATAAAAAATCTACTCACAAATAAGTTACTTAGAACCGCCAAACGTGCATGCTAGTAATTGCATTCATAAGGCCCAATTGTAACATGGTGTTTCCATCATGTTTGTTTCCCACGCTTCAATTTAAGCAATGATCAATACTTAAAACATTTTTTGAGCGATCTATAGATTAAAATTGGTAGGTTAGAAATTCATTTATTAATAATTTAAGTGATTGGAGATTTGGGTGAAGAAGTACAAAGTGAATATCATTTAAATAATGTCATTGTAATTAGTTAAGAAAATGTAAAAAAAAAAATGTAGCTATTATTTGTTACTAACATGGAATATTATTTAATGTGATGATGTAAGAAAAGTTTAAAGATATTAATTGTCATGCACTTTTCCTTACCATCATCCTTCTCTCTAAATTTTTTTCTAACTGTCATGTACTTTTTTTTTTTTAGTGTATAACTTTTTTACATCATTAGTCAATTAGACATTATCTTTTATACAATTTTTTAAAATAACTATTATAAAAGTTAACGAATTTATAACATATGTTGAATTTATATGATAAAATAATATCTTTTTATAGTGTGCATTACGATAAATTCAATGCTTTAAAAATAAATTATTTTTTTACTTCTTAATATTGTAGCACCGAGATATTAGTTTTTGAAATTTTAAAAAATATATCAAATAAATTCCTGAAATTTTGTAATTAGTCTCTACACTCAACCGTTTGGGTTATGATTATAGTTATAAAGTCTATCTTATTAATAAAAGAGGCACACGTGTCAAAATAATTTTATATTTAACATTCTTCTAATTTTAAGATAATTATTATTCTATTCAAATAATTTTATATTTAACATTATTCTAATTTTAATTATTTTATTATTATGTATAGGATCTTAATAAATTTTATTATTGTATTAGTATATTTATTATATAAAATTAATATAATATTATTATTTTAAGTAGTCTTACTACTATATAACAATTTCAATTACAATTATTGTAAAAGTTAGATAAGTTTTATATATGATGTAGATAAAAATATTGGTGATAAATTTTATGTTGTCTATTTTTTTATTTGTTTAAAAAATGTTAAATTTGAAAAAAAAACTTTTTTATTTAAAAAAATATTATTTTTAAACTAAAAATTGAAATTTATAATTATATATGACAATTTTTTTTCTTTTAAGATGAATAATTTAAAAAAATCTTATTTGTTCAAGTAATAGTTTAAAAAAATTTATTTTTTAATTTCATTTATTTTGTATAAGTTAATTATTACTGAAAATTAAGTTTATTTATTTAATTTTTAAAAAATATTATATATATATATATATATATATATTTTAATTATTGAATTAAATGGGTTGAGTTTTTGAACTTACTTTATTAATTCGGACAAGATGGGACCGATCGAAACATGGGATATTTTATTATTTTGACCTCTAATTTCATAAATGTTATATATATTTAAACAAATATAAAATAAATAAAATAAAATTACTACAAAAATAATATAATAATTTTTAAAAATATAATAAAATAATTTATAAAATTTTAAAATTTTAAAAATATAGAAAAAAAAATATATTGATACCATATATTATAATTTAAGATAATTATTTTTCTATCATGAATAATTTGATATTTTAAATTATTCTAATTTTAATTAATATATTATCATGTATTATTGTGTTTAAGATCTTACTAATTTTTATTATTGTAATAAGAATCTTATTATATAAAATTATTATAATATTACTATTTTAAATAGTCTTACTACTATATAATGATTTCAATTGCAATTATTGTCAACTTTGGACGAATTTTATATATTCTATAAATAAAAATAATGGTGATGAATTTTGTGTTGTCTAAATTTTTTACATGTTAAAGTTTTATGTTTTTGATAAAATATTAAACTTGTAAAAAAATTCTTATAAAAAATAAGTTGTTCCTTTTCAAGCTAAAAACTTTAAATTTATAATTATTTTTCAACAATTTTTTTACTTTTAAACTGGATAATTTAAAATTTGTTATTTGTTCAAGTGATAATTTTAAATTTTCATTTGTATAATGTTTAAATTTTTGTATTTCATTTATTGTATCTAAATTATTTTGTTAAGATAATTTTTTTGTGCAGGACTGAATTTGGAAGAGGGTTGGAAGGAGAGTGTTATCTTAAGGAGGTTCTAATCGAATTTGTTTGGTCAAAGATGAGGATTCAAGAAGAAAGGAATTATATTGCAAAACAAGGTGGTGGAGACTAATTCATAAATCATAATCCTAACTCCTCAGCAAGACTTTGAAGGCAAGATATTTTCTCCCTAATCATTTGTTATCTTTCGGTTTAACAACTAATCTCTCGTATAAGAGATTCACTTTTATTATTAAATATTTTTTTAACATATGTTTGAGTGTTCTTCACATCCGGTTTGATCCTCATTGCATAAAAGTTAATAGGAGTAACTTCTCCTCACTTAGTCATTTAGACATGGTGAGAATATTGATGAACACCTTAATGAATTTGTTCCAAACATGTTGTGCCTATACAAAGGTGTAATGGTAATTTTATCTTTCTCCCTTAGGTACACTTGAAGGAGCAAAAAAAGCAACAAAATGGATTCTAGAAGATGTTTGTGTTTGCATGGATTCCCCCACCAAAATGGCCATGACCATGGAGCCCCTATGAGAAGATGCAAAAGTGGCAGGGTTATGGTTAATGCCCCTAGTTGTTTGCTTTTCTTTTTGTCTCTTTTCATCTTTGTATCTCACATCCAAAAGAGAAAAGTGTCAAAACGTTATTGTGGATTATTTTATTACATGTCACTTAATACTTAAACTTGTCGCAAACTGTAGGAGAAATTGTTTTTGAACAACAAATTTGTATACCATTTTATAACTAGAAGAGAATAGTGGGAGACAGAGATGAACAGAGAAAAAATGAATATTATATGAAGTGTTATAAATAAAATAACCATTTTAAAAGTACATGGTCAAGGATAATGAAACAAAGACAGCGGAGCAGAATGTCAATAAATGTTTGTTGTTTAGACCTCGGAATATTCTCTTACTGGTTGGAGACCAGTAAATTCTAAAGTTGAGGGTTAGAAGAAAAAATAAAGGAAATAGTTCTTTATAACACATGTATAAATATTTAATGTAACTACATATCTAAAGTTTAAATTTAATATCGTTATTTAAGTTAGAAGATCTATTTATCAGTTAGTTTATATATCCATCCGTGACTTTTTGGATTAATTATATAAAAGAGGAATAGTATCAATAAACTCACTAATATTCTTATTTTAACAGATGCTTTATTATTAGTTAAAATTTATTTAAAATTATAAAATCATAAGTTAAGTAAAGTTTATCAAACAATATTACATAATTTTTAACCGATAACTAAAAATATATTTTAAGAATGTATGAAAAAAATATCAAATTACTGTACCGAGATAAGAACCAAAAACTGTATTCAACAGATATGAAGATGAGGGTAAAAAACATATATAGATAAAAGTAAGTGAGATAATCAATAATATTCTTATACAAATTTCAGTTTAGTACTCCAATCAGAGGACACTCGTCAGTGTAAGCAGAGATATTCTTGTTCTTTGGAAGCAGAGAGATTCTTGTTATTTGGAAGGCACATTATCTTCGATATATTATTAAAGATTTCTCTTAAACAAAATATCTTAAACCAATGCATAGGGATTTGAGAGCAATGCACTTTTAATAGAAAAAAAGTAGTTATGCAAGAAAAGGAAAAGACTGTGTTTGGGGCCAAAGCACATCTAGAGGTGAGAGCATATTGTTAAAGTGTATTGGATTTAAAGTTTCTCCAATTGATGTAACTAACCAAATTCTCGGAAATTAAGTTGTTAAAGAATTCGTCATACAAATTGTATGGTTATAACTTTGGTGAGGGGACACAGTCACAAATTTGAATTTTAGATTTTGATAGATAAAAAGAATTATATGAGTATAAAAATTTAAAAATAAAAAGTTTAACCAGTCATTGCAGAGGAAGTGCATAACAAAGTATATGTTGTAAGTGAACAATTTTCAGCACCGGTGAGATTATCAGCAAAAATTTAAGAGGAACCAAGATAAACAAGAGCCCAGAAAATTGGATCAATCCAAACAATATAGCAGCAAAGGACACCCTTAATCATTTAGAAGAAGAAATAAAAAAAAATAATGGTAATAATATATAAAACAAAATTTGTAGCTGTTTTCATAACACAAGCCTCAACAGCAAGACACTTCAATCTTGTGTAGCCTAAAATTTTCAGCTTGTTTGACATCTGAAATCAAGTGTTGTCTAAACATGGTAATGAAAGCTTCCACCCTCTCATTCAACTCCTCCTTGGACAGCACTTGAACATGCTCCTCCTCTTCATCTTCATCTTCATCCTCATCATGATTATCATTCTCTTCTATTATTTCATTCTCAACATGAACATAATTTTTGCTACTAGTGCTACAACATTGTTTCATGTAGCATTCTTTTCCTTCTTCATTTTCTTGAGACCCCCCACTAGGCCTTTTTTTCTCTTTATTTTCACTCTTCACTTCTTCAACACTACTTTCACTTGGCCTCATAGACATGAATAGAATGGCTAACAAAATGACATTGAGGATGAGGAACACCCAAGCACGCCATTGCTCAACTAGAAAGTGCTTTAGACACACCATTAGAAGAAATGTACCTGCTGTGAACACTATAGTGTGCATGCTATCCTCCATGTTGTGTATGTGCTCTTCCTCCTTGGTTTCTCTCTCACACTCTCTTCTCTTCATCTCCATATTGAACCTTGTTGTTGTTGTTGGTTTGGTTTGAGTTGAGTTGAGTTGGTTAGAGTTAGAGCTCGATATAAATCACTAGGAGATGGAAGTGGGTATTGTGCAATGATATTATGATAATGATGCACTTGTTGGTGATGTGGGGGACTGCATAACCACAATGAAGGGGTAAAGTTGTATTTGTGATGATGATGTGAATGGTGTAAGGTGATGAGGAGACAAGCAAACACAAACGTACAAGGACTGATACTTTGACACTATGCTATGCTAAGGTCACATTATCAAAAAAAATAAAATTGCTACTCTAAGGTCCTTGTGCTGATGATGATATTCTGATCCAAACTTGGGAATTTAGCTTTGTAAGTTAGTGTGTGTCTCGGATTGGCGTGCACACCAAATCATGCATGTAGCCACTACCCTTAAAGGAGTGATAGGCTCGTGACATTGGCATAGTAGTTGTTAGTTGTTACCCCAACTCTTCTTTCAAAATTCAAAGACTTAATTGTGTTGTTTGGTTTCATGCTTTCTTATTTTTTCAAACTTCTTCTGCTAAATTCTTTTGGTCCACTGAAAGGCTAATTTGATACATCACTGTTGTAGTTGTATAATTTAGTCAGTTTGTCATATATAGGAAAGATCTCCATGTAATTTTAACATTTGAAAAAAGTTTTAAAATTATCGATGTTCTCGATTATAATGTGATATTAATTAGTTTATTTTCTTCTTAATTTGCCTCTAATAAAGTTTTTAACTACTATAATTAAAAGTACAAAAATGTTTCTTTTACATTCATATAAGACAAAAGCACTCGAACAACATCCTTAAAAAATTATTTTCTCTTTTCTTCATTGTTCTACGTGAAAAGATTGAGGCTAAAAGATAATTAGAAATGAAAAAGGGAAAAAGAAAAGTAAGGTGTTGCTTGGATGTTTAAAAAGCATAACTCTTAAAAGTAATGTATTTATTAAGAGAATGATGTTATTTTAATAAAATTGTATAAAAGAAAAGTTATATATTCACTGTTAATCTTTATATGTATGTAAAAATCTCAATCTCCAATTACTTTAACAAAATAACTAATTTAACTAAAACATATATGCCGATGAGACACTCTCCTATACAATTCATCAATTTGTTAAATATTAGATGTTTAATTATAAAGGGTGAATAATATTGCACAATAAAAGTAGTAGAGAATCAAATTCGTGAAGAAAAAAGAAATGAAAGATTGAAATTTGCAAAATTAAGAATGTAAAGGAATAAAAAAAAATATGCAATTAAGGTAAGCTTAAGTAGAAAACATGTTCATTTATGCTTCAAGTTTCTCTTGGTTGTAGTTATTTCCAAAACAAATTTAGAAGGGTAGAATGGGCACAATGATGTGGAAGTAACTCTAGAAAAAGACACATAGATAAGTGGGGAGTTGGAATCTCTCCCTACCCAAAATTGAATGACATGCTGCAAGGCTTTTGGGAGAATAGGGGATTAAAGGGCACTAGAGTTACTGGTTGAAAGACAAAAGGGATTGGAACGTGATAGAGGCAAAGCACGCTTGACATGCACATGTAGCACAGAATGTCCCCACTTGTCCAATGATGTAAGCCCTTAACCTTTGATGTTTCTTTCTTTTTTCCTGTTCCTGCCAAAAGTGGCCAACCATAGTACAACTAGATTCTTCCTAGGTCGCCAAGCTCTCCGTGGAAAAGATCATGTGGGATTTTGGAACCCTTGGGCTCTTGCCTATGGGCCCACGCTAGTGGGCTTTGGATTCTGTGGCCATCAGGAAAATTCGTTTGCTATTTATGCTGTTGCGGACTCATGCTATTTGAGGGCCATTCTTGCATCCCAATATTACATGCATTACTTTAGAGAAAGTCCATGTTCATATAGGAACAAAAGGCTGAAGTAATGGTATATTTTACTTAGATTTAATTGCATTCTTTGCTGTGCAAATTTTCATAATTTCACAAATTTTATTATCCAACTTTTGAAATCGTGCACTTTGCTATCTAATTTTTAAGATTTTGTACATTTTGATATTTCATTAATTGATTGTTTGTCTCTATTAGTTGATCGCTGACATGATACTGACACAATATGTTACTGTGAATTCATATTATTTGAGGGTCATTCATGAATCCTAATATTACCTTACATTACTTTGGGAAAAGTTCATATTAATATAGGAGCATAAGGCTAAAGCAACCGTATATTTTACTCAGACTTAATTGTACTATTTTGTCACCTAAACAATTTTACAAATTTTACAAGTTAACTTTTGAAATGACACATTTTTCTCTCAAATTTAAACTTTTGTACATTTTGTCACTCTATTAATTGATTATTTATTTTTGTGAATTAATGTGACACATTATGTTATATCATCATTTATATGTCATATTAATAATTAACATGTCATGTCAACAATTAAGTAATAGAGATAAATGATCAACTAATAGAACGACAAAATGTATAAAAGTTTAAAAGTTGTGACATGTAAAATTTTAAAAGTTGGATAACAAAATATGCAATCTTAAAAGTTAAATAACAAAATTTGTGAGATCTTTAGTTACAAAAAGTGCAATTAAACTTTTACTTTTTACAAGATTTAGAAGCTAATAAACCGTCGTCACAAAAGGATTAGCTAAATATAGGTTATTTGTTGAATTGTGGGTTTAAGTAGACCGGTTTGACAAGATAAAATCAACCTGCATACCCAATTATACAGTCGTGTTGTGAAACTGTTTTACACTTATTTGTCATATATTAGTAGAAGAATTTAATCAAGCTTTTTCAATAATGTGTACATAATAATTGGATGATAGAATAAACCAATTTCATATTGACAAGTGATCAAAATTGTACTCAATTTATGAAAACCAATCGATTGTAAATTACCTGGTAATACACCTTTTTTCTTCTTTTTTTTCTTTCACAATAGTGTACCGTAGAAAGAATCGGCTTAGTAGAAGTTGCTCAAATATCAATACTTACATGGTATATTATTTTCACACAAAATACTAAACATATCAGTTTTTCTTTCCAATAACCTGATCAAATGAACGTTCCTTCACCATTGGGGGCTTCATTCCCAATGACCACACCTGTATTTTCTCAACAGAAATGTTGTTATAGCATTATAGTTGTTCTGAAAATAAATTTGACCAAAGTTTAAAATGTTAAAACTGAAAATAGTTATCAAGTATCAAGAAAAAAATATCAAGTTCTAGCTCAGTTAATAGAGCAAATACTTGAATTGTTGTAAACTCTCTTTATACAATTCAATTCTAATGAATAAAAAAATAAGAGAAAGAAATATCAAATCATTAATTGTAACTTGTTGTAAGAGAAAAGAATCTCCCTGCCTTCCACCCCTCCCTTCCCAAAACGAATGATTTGATATATTTTGAATAAATATTTTTAACTTTAAGTATCACACAGAATAAATATTTGTTATAAAATTAAAATTCATAAGAAAAGTGTTTTAAAATATGTAAATTATATTATAATTAAAATTTATAATAAATAAATTTAAATGTATAAATTATATTTTGAATTTACAATGAAAATTTAAATTACAGTATATATTGAAAACTTTTGTAGAAATTATTAAAGTTGAATTTAATGAAAGAGAAAAACGAGAGTACATTGAACAGGATAGCCAGTTAAAAAAATCAAATATACACAGTATAAAAGATAGGGGAAAATGATTGGAAAATAAATTGTAGCTAATTGCAAAAGTGGTGTTTGAAATGTATTCTTAAAATAAAAGAAAATTGTGTATTTTAATTTATAAGATAAAAGTAAATTTCCTATGGGTTGATCTTGGTGCAACCTATTGATGGAAATAGTGAATACTCTGATTCCATTTCTGGAAGACAACTTGATTTGAAAAATCAATCTGTGCCAGGCTTCATTTATTGACTTACTTCACTTCACTGTTTAAAGATATCAGATTACAAAATAATCATACAAATTTATCTAAATACTCAAACTGAGGTTTCCAATTCAGCCTAACAAATTTCAAGCTTCAACAGCTCCCGAGTTCAATCACCAGCATAGTGATGTTCTTGAGAAGAAGACTTGAAATGAGCCAATTACAATCGGCATAAGTTTAACCTGCCAGCAATAAGACTTTTCTTCCTATAAAGTTTATAGTTTATATGGAGATATATATATAAAAAAAAAATGACAAAAAAGATTCTACAAACATAACCATCAGCTATCAAGGGTTGCCACCAACATGTCATGACTCAAATGTTAAGAAAGCTTAAGTTATGAGACTTTGGCAATAGGGTCTTTGAGCCTGCAGAAACATTTTTTTTTTCTATTAAGCTAGGGTGCCTAGCTGTTAAAAAAAAATGTATTTGATGTGTCAGAGGCTAAGATGTAAGATACCACCTTCAAGGTGTTATTTACTTCAAAGGCATGCTATAGCTGAATCCTAAAGCCTTAAGCATCTACTGATATCAACACCTTTTTTATATAAGCTGCACAAAGAAAATGAATAAATTAGACTGGAGCTCAAATACTGATTTTCTATCCTAAAGCAAGGCAACAATTGTAAGCAATCAATATATTTCTATAGAAAGAAACTTCCTATTACAATCTTATTTTAAAGAAAGGATTTCAAAATTCATCTGTCAGTTAAATCTGAAAAAAATAATCCCTAAATGAGGAAAGCTAGAAAGTTATGTCAATCCCAGGCATTCATGATCCATAACAAACTATCAGATAACCCTTCATATTGATTTAACCCAAAACTTCTTAGCACTTAATTCATATCCAATTATCGATGCTTGTGCTTCCAATTCAATCAGCAAAGGATGAAATCAGGGGGAGTTATTGTATTTGTATGCATCAAAATTGGACAAACCTGATGAGCAACCTTAGCCAGGTGCTAATTATCTTTAGAAGTTTCCTCTATTATGCTAGATTTCTGGGGTTCTAATGAACTATTTTGTTTGTCCTCCACCCTCCTCTTTTTCACCATGCTCTTCTCAGAATCAATATTTTGGTCTGCATTTCTCAAGGATTCTTTTTTTCGCTTCCTTTGGAATGTATACTTCAGAAGCCTACTGTCATCTACTTGACTGGAAGATCCATCATTTTCTTCAAAATCTTTTGCATCTTTAAAATCTGTATTTGCAGATGGAACATAAAAAACCTCAACTTTCATAGGAGAACTTGGACCTGTTAGATTCTGTGCAGCACTTCCTTCTAAATTTAGTAACTTGGTATCCATCCCAATAGCCTTCTCCACATGCTCAAATTTATTTAGAGCCTGAACACTTTCTGCAACACCGGTTGACCCATGTGCAGGCTCTAAATCAGCAAATGGTGGCACTGGCTTCATCTTAGCACCATGTTCATCTTCACAACATTTATCGTGGACAGATGAGCACTGCTTAAGAACAAATGATGGTTTACAACTCCTAAAAGCAGAAGATTTCATCCCTACAAGTCTATGTCTTCTTCTCTTTCTTTTCCATTTGCTAATGACACTAGGCTTGATAGAAGGTAGAGAGCACACACCTTTGTTGGGTTTACAGTTTCCATTTACATGCATTTTACAAGAAAGCAAGCAAGACCTGTAATAGGAAAATATCTTCCGTCTTGGTATCTTACGGTGCTTAATGTTCTTCTTAATTTCCATTTTCTCAGCCAGTGCACTAAATTTTGCAACTTCCCCATTGCTATCTTTAGCAATGAGCCCCGGTTTTTTACCACAATGTTGATTGTCGGCATCTTGCATGAGCAACTTTTCATCCAGCAAGTTTCCTTCAAGTGCACGAATTCTCTGAGTAAATCCATTTCGGCGAAGTTCAGGTTCCTTGCTTCTCATATTGATGGAAGCCAAGTCAGAGTCATGACCATAGTAATCCTCCACATTAGAGATGCCCAGTTGCTCAGTTTGTTTTTCTGAATTACAGCATTCATTATCTAAACCATTCACAGTCAGTAATTTGTTCATCACATTACTGCTTGTTACACATTCAAGTTCTTTATTAGGAGAGGATACTAAAATCTTAGGTTTTGCACACTCCTGAAAAGATGCAACTTGCTTTACATTCTGCCCATTCAAAGGCTGGACCTGGTTATTCTTTGTCTTCTCTAACTCGAGATATACATGCTTCAATTCCACTCTAAGATCAGTTATTACATCCTCAGCTTCATTCAATTGTGCTTCAAGCTCATCAATTTTTCTTTGCTTCTCCAATGATGTTTTTTCTGCTTCAGTTGTCTATAAACAAAGAAAACATTTGTTTATGGAAATGCCTGGTATAAAATACCAAAAAAGTAAAAACTCATCAAAGTGGGATATCCAATTACATCGTAGTTTTAGCCATGCAATAAAAAAAATTTCCTTCTAAGTGTGAAATAACTCGAGCAACACCAATAATGTGAAACTTACTACAAGCAACACCAATAACTTGAGCCATTCAATAAACAAAATTTCCTTCCAAGTATAGACTTTTATTAGGTTTAATTGTTTTTGTTGTTCTTGTATAGATTCTGACAGGGGAATAACATAATTTCTTGTAATGAATGACTACCCAATATTGAGGAGAAATGTATCCCCCCAAGTCTTTCAATCATTTAAACTTTTAGAACTTTAGTTATCAGGGAAATGTCAATAATTGACGGTAGCGCAACTATGTAAGCATATTTAGAAATATGTTAATTCCACAAATAACTTGGAATTCAACTTATAAACCAGGAAAGATATATAACCTGAAGCAGGACATACCTCACTGGTGGACAAGCAGAGAAAATGAGAAATATATTTTTTTTGGTTAAAATACCTTTTTAGTCCCAATATTTGCAATTTTTTTAATCCCTTTGGTCTCTATGGTTAATTTTTTTTGTAATAATATCTATTTTGTGTTGACATGATAGAGATCTTCAATTTTGTAAGAATAAAAAAAGGGTGTCCCAATAATAGGCATCACAGGTGAGGGTACAAAAGAGGTATGAAACGTCGAGAGACCTAATTTAGATTTTAGAGTAACTCCAGTAAAAGAAATTTGACATCAGACACACAAAGTCGAATTAATACCTTTGTCACATTAACAAAAAAGAGAACATTACAATAAAAAAATAATGACAACGACTAAAAGAATTAAAAAAAATCCAAGTATAAAGATGAAAAAGATCTATCTTAAACTATAAGAACTAAAAAGATTAAAAAAGATAAACATAGTGACTAAAAAGTTTTATTTTAAATTATAGGAACTAAAAAGTAAAGTAAGTAAAATTATAGGGATTAAAAAAGTATTTTAACTTGTTTTTTATGAATTTCAAACACACAAGGAGAAACAAGAAAAACCCAACAGAATTTAATAGATTATGATTTTGCTCAAACTTCATTAAAATTATTATCAAAATTGAACTTGCATACCAGATTACGGGTGGTGTAGAATGAAAGTAACCGGGGAAAAACAGAAAGTTAGTTTTCATAGATAATAATGGAAGCATGTGAAAACATGTTAGTTTTCATAGTTAGTTTTCAAGGAGTCACTTCTCAACATGTTTTTTTATGGAAATGAAGAATTTTAGTTTATTATCACATGCATTGAGATATACAGCCAATATTTATATGGGAAGAAGGTTTCAGTTTTGCACAGGAGAATCACAAGCTAACCGCATAAACAAGAATAAGTTTTTTTATCCTGGCATCAGGTAGGGGAGATTGTCAAATAATACTTGTCAAGAAAGAACAATATGAACCCAAGCCAAAAAAAGTTGATATAAGTTGAATAATGATAAATCAACTAAATATAATATATATATATATATATATATATATGTATGTATGTATGTATGTGCGTCTTTTACTTACTTGTACCAATATCTTACACTGAGGTTTAACCTAAATCAATGCATTAACATTCCCCTCCTTGCTCCCCAGCCATTCACACAATAAATGTGTCTTTCTTTTTAGAGTACTTACATTATGCCATTTCTAGTGAAACACTGTTGACTTGCCAAAATGAAAGGATGATTAGAAAATAATACATAATATCTCTTTGCTGGATTTGAAGTTGATTATGAGTTCAATTAATAATAAAAAAGGTGAATTATGTGCCTCTTAGCAGTAACACAGGAAACGGATAAGGTGGGAAGCAACATCCTGTAGGGGGAAGAACACAGGTAGAGAGAATAAGATGTTAATGCTGAGATGGAGTCAGCTATATATGTAGTTATGTACTACACATACCCAAACAGTCATTGTAAAAGATCAAAGCATCTTCTGAGGATAACAAAAGAAGACACTAATAATGCAGTACAATTTCGATGTAACATTTCACTTCATCCAGAAAATAATACATGTGAATTCTACTTGAACAATACAAAGAATTCTCATACCAGCACACACATGTGATCCTACGGATCTTCCACTCCAGATTCGAATTGGAACTCAAAAAGCAGGCAGACACTGAAAAATTGGGGATGGGGGTCTAAAAAGACACCATTACTCAATCACCTCGGTGCTTGTTTGGTTTGCCATCAACATCACTTCCGCTTCAAAAACAATTGATTCTAATAGTATTTCATGTGTTTGGCTACTTTTGCTTCCAAAATAGTTGATTCTACATTATAGATTGATTGTGTAGGAAGTGAATTGTTCTTGATTCTGCATTATAAAATTGATTAGGTGTGTAACTAACCCATAAAGTTTTCAAAAATATATGTATAATTACATTTCAAAAGCAACTTTACTTCGCCATTCACACAATCAATGCTTCTAAGCTATTTTAAAAACATCATGGTCAAATACAAATTAAATCTTTTAACATCAATTCCACTAAAATATAAACTAAACTTCCAATTATTACATTACACTCATGAATAACACTGACCAATTAAACACAAAAAGGCATCAAAGAACCATAACAATCACATGAGTTAAGATTGAGAATAAAACCTTAGCATCCATCATCTGCTTCAAATGCAGTAACATACGAAGAGCCTCTTCTTTGACCGAAGAGAGCTCCTGCTGGAACATAACAGCTCTTCTTTCGGACGCCATTACCCGACCCGCAGCCTCCTTCACAGTATTCAGAATCACATCCGCATATGCCTTCTTCAAAGCCACCATTTCCTGCACAATCAAACACGCCATTACTAGAAGAACCATATTCATCAAAACTCGATTTACAAACAGAAATACACAAAGCACAAAACTTAGATACAATTAGAGTTTCACATTGATAGCTTATGCTGACATTGAATACAAACTTATATTCAGCAAATTGTCAAAAAAGTAAAATTTCAATTCTGATTAGATAACATCGCTAAAAACAATTAAGCTGACATTTAATACGAACTTCCATTACACAAATTGTCAAAGTAAAATTATAATTCTCATCAAAGAACAACACTAAAAACACAATTAAGAAAGTGTAAATAAAAACCAAAACAACCAAAATCAAATTTTGAAGACATGGGTTTGTTTGATAATGGCAACACAACAGACATCGGAGATGGCAAATAGTGACAATGATGTTAGGTAGTTAGGTCGTTTTTTTTTTTTTTTTGGATGGAAATTTCAAATTTTGAAGAGAACCCAACTTACATGAGATTGGTGTTGATGCATTGGAGTGGAGAATTGAAAATGGGGGTTGTCGAGAGGCTCCGTTTGTGAGGTGAGAGAGGATTTTCTCTTTCCTCCCTCCATCGCTGCTGCTGCTGCTGAAACTGTGTGCGTTGTGTTTCTGTTATTTATGGGGGGAGTTATTCTTATTCACATTTTTCTTTTTTATTTGAATTTATAATTTATATTTATATACTTTTAAAATAAAGAAAATATATTTCAGTTTAGTTATTTAACTTTAGATAATTATTGACACATATTGTATTTATTTATAGCAGAGAGATCGATATATTTCGTGTATCTAATAATTATATAAATAAAATATTATAAGGTTACATGTAATTATTAAAAAAGAAAAAATATAAAACTTTTTATTATTATTTGAGTGATATAATAATCTATTAAAAAGTGAATACCAAAAATAATTACATATCTCACTATTCTCTTTATAATAAATATAGATTAGTAGAAAAAGATGCATTATATCTTTTCATTAAAAATAAATAAAATAAATGAATGATTATATTCTCTTATTTCCTTTTTTTCACATTAAAAAAACATTTTTGTTAGAGTTACTTTTCAGTCTTACAGTAAAATAAAAAAATCTGTAAAAAATAAGACTAAAATGGAGAAATATATATATATATATATATAAATAAGAGATAAAAAATTTTTATATAAAAATAGAGATCAAAAGGCAATTATCAAAATGAATATTCTTTTTATACATAATATCCTTTTATACATATTATTTTATATATATTTTTAAAATAAAGAAAATATATTTGAGTTTAATTATATAACTTTAAAAAATTATTAACACTTGTTTATTTACATTAGTGAAAAAAAGATAGATATTTCATGTCTCGGCTAAAAATAAACAAAAAGTAAAATAAATGGATGGTTATTATATTTTCTTATTTCTTAAATAAAAAAAAAACAAAAAAAAATATTTTTGTGAGAAATTATTTTTCAGTTTTACAGTAAAATGAAAAAATCTGTCAAAAAAATATTAAAATGGAGAAAAAATATAAATAAAGGATAAAACAGTCTATATAAAAATAAAGTAAAAAATAGTTATTAAAAGGATATTCTCTTTATATATAGTATTTTATTATATATAATGTAGATAAAAAAAATTGTTTGAATTTTTAATTTATATTTATTCATATTTTAAATAAAAAATATATTTCAGTTTAATCATTTGACTTTAGAAAATTATTGACACTTGTTTATTTACGTTAGTGGGAAAATAGGCACTTTGTGCCTATATTAAAAATAAAATAAAGAAGTGATTATTATATTTATATTTTTTTCTTTAAATTAAAAAATATATATTTTGTGAGATGTTTATTTATGTTACATATGAGAAAAGAGAAAGAAAGGATAAATACAAAAATAAGGCAATCAGAGGAAGGTGAACTTCAAACCCTGAGATAGTTAGGAGCTTCATACACAACTTCAAACCCACTGATAGAAGGGACAAACTTTGCAAGTAAATCTACTTCTACGCATTGATTACCTTCACAAAACACATGCCCCATACAACAATCTCATTCTTAATCCAATTGCTTAATAAGAACCATCTAATTAGAGATTCGATGAAAGGGTTGAACCTCATCTACCACCATGTTAACTACCCATAACGAATTAGAATAACAAGTTACTTTTCGATACCCCAGTTGCCAACATAACTGCAGACTTGTGAGAAGTTACTTTCAATTTTAGAATAAAAAGGTTTATATCAAAAATGAAGATAAAATGTTTAACCATCAAAGTTACGTTTCACAAGTATTAATTAGTCTTTAATTATTAATTTTAGGATATTATAACATAATGTCCATACCCAAAAAAATAAGATCAAAATACAATTATCAAAAGGGTGTTAAATATATATATATATATATATATATATAACAATATATAAAGGAAATACTTCCCTTTTATAAAATAATTGTGTATACTATTTTATAAAATCATGTAACCAACTAAGTATATACAAAAAAGCTTGAACTGTTTTATTTTGCAATGAGCTTTTATACTTGTTCAAAATATGAAATTCAATGTTAAAAGTGAAATACAATATATAGTGGTTATTGGAGTACTTAGTATATTATAAAACATCTTTGCAAGATCAACACATTTATGAAGACTTTTTTCTTTCAAATAAATTATGATATTAAAGTCGCATGATGATGGAACTCTTAACTCTTCTAAATATATATAACTTAGATTTTCTAGTATTGATAGTTGTTATGCTCTCACATTCTTCAAATTCCTATAAAATTAATAATCTTCTTAGAAAATCAATATATATGTAACAATGAAATAAATTGTACAAAAATTATAAAATCAACTTACTTCGTAGATATTAAATGGTGTCGGCGTGTTTCATTTTCCTCCTCTAAATAAACATGAATTTTGTTCTTGTTATGACTGACACGCATTTGAAGAGCATCATTTTTAACATAAATCTCACTCTTAAACACTTGGTACTTTTCTTTTACTTCTCATCAATAAGTAAATATAAAATAAAATTTTAAAAAAAGAAGTAAGCAGCCCGTGACCCAATCAGACTAGCTTCGCTTGAACCCATTTGTGCCACAGTCTTTACCAAACCAAGTTACAAAGGCCCACATTTTATTCAAACTTGAAAATTAGAGTCCAAGTCCTATAATTTATCAAGCAAGTTCAGGTTAGCTTGGCAAGCTTGACCCATTTTGCTGATTCTAACTCTTTTTTTGAACATTAATTAATTAATTAAGAAGCAATAAAATGAAAATAAAGATGGTTAATTTAATAAATGCTAAGGTTAATTTTATAAGAAAAAAATAGTTCAAATTATTGACAAAACTAATGTTATTAACTAAACTAACTCATTTTCTGCCATCATGAGTTAGCATAAATGGTATGAGATTCGGACTTGATTTTCCCATTATGTGGATTTGATACCCTTACAACTATTAAAATTATAATTTGGTGGGCATACTTACTCAAAAGGATCCTTTTCCATCAGAGGTGAAATTTCTCTATGTGGGTCTTTACTAGCCCTAAATTTGACAAATAAAGTTTCTGGGTTAAACTAAATACTACTGAACTTCGACTAACCATTGAGTGGACATTGGTACTTGGTTTGAGGATCTCCAATATGTCATTGACTCCTTGACCGATAGTCTTAGGGATGTCATCCCCTATCTAACATTTTTTTATCGAAAAAAATAACCAATTCTCTTGAATGATATGATTTACTCTTTTCATCCTATAATAGTTACAGTTTTAACATTTGAAAAATATCCCTAAATTAATTATATTCTCACTTTTTAGTGTAATATTAATTAAATTTTTTCTAATTTGCCTCTTCATAAATTATTCAACTAATACAATTAACAATAATGTATTTATTGAGAAGGTGAGTTATTTTAATAAAAAAAAATTGTATCAAAAAGTTATACATTTACGATATAAAAATTATTTATTTATGCTAGCAACACACTCTCTAACATATTCTTTTAAACACACTACCTCTAATTGGTTGAATTTTATTAGGAAATACAAAATTTAGTGGGTCTCAAACCTTATTTAGTGGCTCTTTTCCTAATTTTGTAGCTTTCAATAAATTCTAACTAATGAAAGTGTGTTAAGATGAATGTGTTAAATAGTGTGTTGCTAACATTCCTCATTAAGAATGACAACGATAGGGATGACAAAATGGGTTTGGATCCTATGGACACCCGCAAAAATAACCATATGCGAGACAGGTAAATACTCACTTATATGGGAATGAGTACAGGGCAGGTATAAACATGTAAAATTTAGTGGGTACGAGTGTGAGTATAGTACCCGCCCCATAATTATATATATATATATATATATATATATATATATATATTTTATTTATTTAAATTTTATTATGATATTATAACTAAAATCCTATTTAACCTTATTCTTTTCTTGCAATCTTGAGTCTTCACCTACCCATTGTGTTG